TGTTTGGTTAATTTTATGGAGGTCTTGAACTAAGCAATAGGAGCCATTCGGCTTTCTGACTCCCAGGACTGGGGTGTTATGGAGAGAATGAATGGGAATTAGACAGAGGATAATGGGTTTTATTCCTTGCAGGTAGTGGAGGAAAATGGGTATTGGTCTTGGGTTACGAAGGGTGTGGGGTCTTTAATCTCTCAATAAGGACAGGTTGGTGGTGGGAGGCCACAGTAGAAGATGTGAAGTGTCGCAAATTAGGGGGTTTACTTCAGGGAGGAGGCTTGGAAGGCAGAGGACTGGGTTTGGTGAGGGGGCTCACTTGAGTCTAGTTTCATCTGCAAGAAGAAAATAGTGGTGGATTGTAAGGGGAGTATATATAGGGAAACTTTCAAGTTTAGAAATAAAATCCCTTTCTAATAAAGGTAGAGAACATTGAAGCATAATAAGAAAGGAATGGCTGAGAGTTAAGTATCCAAACCAGCAGGGAATGGCATGAGTGTGGAGGGGCTTAAAAGGAGTCCCTGTAACCCCCACAATTGTTAAAACTGAGGGAGTGGAGGGGCCTCTTCGGGAGGTTAGAAATGATAGCAACGCCCCAGTGTCCTAAAGCAAAGAAACATTTTCTCCTGTCACCACACTTTGACCCTAAGTTCCACAGAGCTGTGAGAAGGTTTGGCTTTGGGTGAGGAACCCAGGCTTCCTCACTGTGGGAGGGGAAGTATGGAGGACAGGTGGTTGGCCCAGGGTGGGGCAAGTTGCTAGGCACTCACATTTCTGTGTTCCCGTTGTCCATAGCTAGGGCAGGCCTTGCTAGGGGGTTTCAGATACTGATACTCCTTAGCCCAATATCCCAATTGACTGCATCTGAAGCAAGGATGGGGGGGACTGACCTCACCTCCTTGTGGCTGAGAGGGAGGGCCCTGAACTAGCAGCCCTGGGGGTGGTGGACTGGGCGTTTTGGAAGGCGTCTGCTAGCAGCTGAAAGTCAGCTTGGTGCTCCTTCCTGTCCTGTTGTCTCTCTTGTTCTCATTCCTTTTTAGCTTCCTCCTCCCTGCCATTTAAAACCTTAAAAGCCAAGTCTAGAGGCTCATTTTTTGAAGTGGAAGGCTCCTTTTCCAGGCACTGTAACTTTTTCCTTATGTCAGGTGTGCACTGGCTCATAATGTGAACATGAAGGAGTAGGGTACCCTCTGTGGAATCAACATTAACATTAGTATGCTAAGTAATGGCCTCTGAGATGCAGTTAAGGAAGAGGATGAGGTTTTCATGGGTGCCTTGGGTGACTACCTTAAGTTTTTCATAATTGACTCTCAAGTGGATGTTTTCTTTTTTTTTTTTCTCTTGGTCGTGGGGCTTGAACTCTGGGCCTGGGCACTGTCCCTAAACTCTTCAGCTCAAGGCGAGCACTCTACCACTTGATCCACAGTGTCACTTCTGGTTTTCTGGTGGTTTATTGGAGATAAGAGTCTCACAGACTTTCCTGCCTGGGCTGGCTTTGAGCAATGATCCTCAGATCTCAGCCTCCAGAGTAGCTAGGATTACAGGCATGAGCCACTAGCGCCTGGCTTCAAGTGGGTGTTTTGATGCATGCCCTCTGCCAGGCAGGTTACCATGAACTGAAAGTACTCAGAACCACTGGCGTTGTTTTGATAATTTCAGTGGGAGTCGCTTGCAGGGACAGCCACTGTTCCCAGGGGGAAGTGGGCATTTTGTTCATTTAGCCTATCAGTGTAATCCCTGGATGACTTTAAAATGTGCTCTTTTTCATCTGGCGTTAGAGTCAAATTAAGAAGGTGCTGGAGATCATGCCAGGTTAGAGAGTACAATTGGAAAATCCTGGTAGACTTTTTAAAAAATATATATAATGGAGAGGACTGCTTGAAAATGAGTCCAATCTTTGTTCAATATAATCCACCTCATTTAGGGTGAAAGGAACGTGAACTTGGGTGGGTCGGTCCTGTCCTGCTACCTCACAAAGGAGAAGCATACAAGCTGTTTTAGAGCCACTGACAAGTGGAGACTGAATGAAAAGGGGAACCGGCAGGTGGAATGGGGTAGAGGGAGGATCTGAAGCAGAAGGTAATTGGGAAGTACAGGCTGGAGGTTCTGGAGGTTGGCAGTTTCAGGAGTGGGAGTGGAAGGAGTGGGAGGGGAAGGATGGGGTGGGTAAGGACGAGGCTCATTGCTGTGGTCGAAGTTCAGGAGACTAAGTGAAGAAAGAGGCTGTTTGCGGGGGTGTTTTAGAGTTTGAGGAAGGTGAGCAGCAAAGGAGAATTTGTGAGGCAGGACAGGATGAACAGAGGGAAGGTTTACAATGTAGCAACCTCAAGCATATGGAACCTCAGACTCTGCCATTTCATTGGAGAAAACTCTTTACATCAGTAAGAAAACTAAAATCAAAGGTTCCGAATTCAAGCCAATGGTGGACATTGTCTAAAGGATAGTAAGGCTAGATTTCAGTAGATAAACAAGTCAATATTTTTGACTGTAACTCAGTCAGCCCAAGAGTCCTAAGGTTAGGCCACAGGCAAACCAATGGGATATCTCTTGGAACAGACAATTTGGAGCCTATTTTGAAAAATTTGGTAGGACTATGGAGTGACCTGTCCCACTGATTCAGATGTCCCTGATGCTTTGGGAAGTTAAATAATTAGGAGAGGGAATCCCCAAAGTCTTAAAGGGTGCCAGGGGGTCAGCAAAATGTGAGAGACTCAAGTCTTTGGGGACCCCACAGACAGGGAGCAGGGGATTTCCCCCCAGATCTGTAGGGGACTTCTTGGAGTCCTCTGGTCCATGTTGGGGCACCTCTGCCATTGACTAAGGCTGGTTACCTTGTCCTGAAGTCTTCTGGGTGGTGGATGGAATCGGTCTAACAGCAGAGGTCCTCCTGCCTGGAGATTAAGAGTCCGGGGACAGAAGAGAGGGTATAGTAAGCCCAGGGTGGAGAGAGGCCTTGGAAAGAGGAGGATAGGAAAAAGTTCAATGAGAGGTGGCCAGGAGGCAGGTGGCCCCTTGGCAGAGGGGACCTAGTTACTCCTGGCACTTTACCTCTCCCAGGTTTAGGCACCAAATGTTAGGAAAATGGAGGAGACAGGATGGAAACAGGCCAGACTCTCTCTTTCACAGGTTGACTGTTTATTGAGGAATGAGAGATACAGCCTTCCTGCTGGCTTGGAGGCTGTGTCCAGGGGAGTGGGGTTAGACTTAGGGCTTTTTTGGAGTATGTGTAAGGAGACAGGGTTACTTGAGTTTAATATGGAGGGGGGTAACTTCAGGTGTGGGCAGAGACTAGGGTAGGTATTCCCTTATCCAAGGTCTCAAGGTGTTTTAATGTTCAAACAGCTCTACATCTGTCTTGCCCAGACTGTTTGACCTTAACAGGATACAGTTCTGCCTTACAGCTCAGCCTCTGAGCCATACATGCTAGGCCGACAACTGAATGTTTACAGCCAGGCTCTGGTTGGATTGTCCTGCCTGTGTCAGGAAGTCTGTGCATATCTTTGGTGGCTTGCCTGAAGTCAGTATCCACCTGGGAAAATAGGGTGGTGGTCAATCTATTACTCAGGATTGCTAGATATATTCACACTGTAGAGTTCAGCTGATGAAAATCAGCCCACACCACATTGACAAATCAGGAAAAAAGTAAGCTTTCAATCCTGGTGCCACTGGCTCACGCCTATAATCCTAGCTACCCAGGAGGCTGAGATCTGAGGATCACAGGGTCAAAGTCAGCCAGGGGCAGGAAAGTCCGTGAGACTCTTATCTCCAATTAGCCATCAGAAAACTAGAAGTGGTGCTGTGGCTCAAAGTGGTAGAGCACTAGACTTGAGCAAAAAGAGCTCAGGTACAGTGCCTAGGACCCAAGTTCAAGCCCCACAACTGACAAAAAAATGAAAACTTCTATAAATGGATCCAATTGAAGAAATCAATTTTTGAAATAGGAGAAGCAAAGGAGAGTGGAAGATTTGCAGGTACCTACTTCCTTCCTTCCTTCCTTCCTTCCTTCCTTCCTTCCTTCCTTCCTTCCTTCCCTCCCTCCCTCCCTTCCTTCCTTTTTCAGGGCCTGCGATTTCTCTGAGAGCCTATTTTGTGCTCAAGGCTATTGCTCTACCACTTGAGCCACAGCACCACTTCTGGCTTTTTCTGAGTAGTTTACTGGAGATAAGGGTTTCACAGACTTTCCTGCCCCAGCTGGTTTGAATCGTGATCCTTATATCTCAGCCTCCTGAGTATCCAGGATTACAGGCATGAGATCCTGCCACCCAGGATCCTGCCACCTGTCCCACCTCTTACCATTCTCTTGTCCTCTGGTTACCAGGTAGTTCTCCAATTAGGGTGGTGTGACAGTGGAGCAACCTGGAATGGAAAACTTCAGAAACCAAAAATCTGCAGAATCTTTTTTTTTTCTTATTCAGTAGTGTTGCAACTCTACAAGGAGAACCCAAACTCAAGGCTTTGTGGGTTTTGTTTTCACTATTTAAAGTTTCTATTTCTTCCTACCCCCAACCTAAACCTTCCCTAATAGCTCAGACACAGGTCAGTCAGCCTATTTTCTGACATGGGTCATTTCTGGCTCCAGTTCAACATAAACTGAAGGCCAGGGAATCAGAAAGTTCTGGGAACATAATGCGAAATAAGCTCAGGAAAATGGACTCATAAAGCTATAAATATAAACTCTATGGTTTACCCTTGACCATTGCATTAGTTTTATAATCTTAAGTAGCAAAACAAAGACTCTGAACACTGAAATAAAGGTAAACCTCACAAACTTGCTTTTATTTTTTTTTTTAACACCACAGTTAACATTCAACTTGACAGCAGCTACAACTCAGGATGCAGCATTACCAAAGCTTCCCAGAACCAGTTTATATTGATAGTAAGTTCTTTAAACGAAGGAAATGGTTGTCCACTGGGTAGTGTACATGCGAACCAAAATTTCAAGATTTGGGAATAAACACTTGCTGCTCTGATCTTGTACTCTGCTGCTTGTGTTTATCAGTTTATGCTTAGAAACCATTAGGAGTTTGGGCCTTTTGCCCCTGTCCACTCGAAGAGGCTGCTGGTTGTGCTGCTTTCTGCTTCATCATTGTCCAATCAAATGAGTAGTCATACTGCAGATTCAGGGTCCTGAAGAGGATACGAAATAGCTGCCTCAGGTACATGTAATCCGGAGCTTCCTCAAAGCGCAGACCACGACAATAGTTTAAGTACATGGCAAATTCTACAGGGAACCCCTTACATAAAACTTCAACTGGAGTGGACATCTTCTTTTCACTGATCTTCTCGTATTTCTGTTTCTTTGTTGTAGCTTTTAGTCCCTGCCATGGGAGGCTGGTTCTATTAAAATACATCAAGACATATCCTAATGATTCCATATCATCTCGGCGACTCTGCTCAATACCAAGATGTGCATTGATGCTAGCATACTGGGCAGTACCCGTGAGGTTTTTATCTTCTCTGTATGGTATGTGTTGTCTTGTCTTGTTGTCTCTGTACTTTTTGGCCAAACCAAAATCAATAAGGAACAACTGGTTTAATCTCGAGAAAGATTGGTATTGAGAAGTAGCCTGTGTTGTGCTTTTCTTCTTGCTCACTGGGGATGATTCTAAACACTTTCGGTGGTGACGCCCAATACCCATGAGGAAGTTGCCTGGCTTAATGTCTCTGTGGATAAAATTTTTTGTATGCAAATACTCAATTCTACTAATCATTTGGTCAGCTAACAGAAGTACAGTTTTCATGGTGAATCGCCGTGAACAGAAATTGAAAAGATCTTCAAGGTTGGGTCCCAGAAGATCCATGACTAGCACATTATATTCCTTTTCCTGGCCATACCAGCGTATGTGGGGGATACCAACGCCACCTTGAAGAATCTTATACAGTTTACTTTCATAGAGTAGCAGGGGGTGTTTGGCTTTCTGAGATTCTAATTTCACCGCAACTTCCTCCCCATTGGTGATATTAATAGCCAGATAAATGTCCCCAAAGGAGCCAGCCCCTATCTTCCGCACTAGTTTGTATTTCCCGCCTGCTATAAATTTGGTCTTGGTGATGATGTTGCTGCTGCTGCTCGCCATACTGAGACACAAAGATGGAGGCTGGGACTAAGCAACGATACCTTTCAGGGGATGATGGAAGTTTCTGGGGCTTTGTCCGTCCGGTAAAGCTGAGGCAGGCAGCAAGAGAATGGAGGTCTTTGCTGGCTTCACAGGGACAAGGAGAACCTGGTCACTGCTGCTCAGTCAGGTTTCGTTTGGTCTTGTTCAGTCAGGCCACAGTCTGTGAGGGGTGGTCGCAGTCGCTAGGGCTTGGTCTCTGTCTAGGCCGCTGCCGCTGGCTTGATCTCACCGCGAAGTCGCGGGCTGAAACCAGGCAGGGTCAGTTTCGGTGGCGGTAACGCGGCCACCACTGCTGCCCGGCTTGGGCCCCAAGGGCCCCGAGTCACTCCACCCACGCCATCATCTTTTTGTCTGGCTCCAGCCACCACAAAACGCTCCCAGGCCCTGGGAGCCGCTCGTTCAGAGCGCGGGAACTCAAGTTTCGTCAACCGAGCTCGCGCACCCAGGAACTTCTGAGGTGAGTCACGTGTGTGGTAAAGATTCTATTCCCTGTGCAAGGCTTTTGAAAGCTGAACTGCTATTGGTTGAAACGCAGGCAAGGTGGGGCAGTTGCTGAGGAGGAACTGTCTCCACTGTTGGGGGAGGGGCGCAGAGGCAGTTCTGGTTTCTGACTCATGGAACTTTTCTGTACTTGATTGTGACAGTAGTTCCATCAATCTATATGTGTTAAAATTCGTACAAATAGGGGAAAGGAAGCAGAGATTGACAGAGTGGGTAGCATTGATTGGAATATATTATAAACAAGTATGGAAAGGTAATAAAATCTCGCTCTTTATAACTAATGCAAACCAATTTTTATTTTTATTCTTTTTTTACTATTATACAGGGGCAGTACCAGAGGGGTTACCATTTCAAGCTAATTTTTAAAAAAAAGGTCATAGAAATATAAACCAAAGAAAGAAAAGCCAATTTGGGAGAATAATAAGGAATTTATATGATATTATACTATATATAATATATTATATACATTTTATGATATATAATTATATATTTTATTTATGGTATATATAATACTTATATACTTACTCATATATAAGGTACACTTTATATTATATAATAGCATACATTGTATAATACTGTTATATACTATATAATATATAAATATATCATATATATTATTGTATATTATTATATATTATAAATATATCATATATTATAACAAAATATATTATATAGCATATAATATGCAATATATTATATAATACTATCTAATGCTATATAATATATAGTATATAATGTGCAATATATTATATAATACTACCTATTATAATCTATTAGATAATATACATTTTATATTATATAATTATATATTACATATTATGTAACATATTATATAATTATATATGTATATTATTGTGAGGGCTATGGAGCCTTTGAGATTGCCTGGCTTCAAATTCTGGTACCAGCACTACCAATGTGACACCTAACACATGACTTACCATCTTGGCTTCAGTTTCTTCACCCATCAAGCATGGATAAGCCTAGTTCCTGCCTCCAGAGGTTGCCTTGGGGTGAAGGTTAAGGGAGATAATATATGTAATGTATATGAGTATAAGTCAACATTAGATAGATGTTCAATGTAAGGGCCTGGGGTGTGGGAGGTGAGTGAGAGGACCAAAACAATCATCCTGTGAATTACATTTGAGCCATAGTGAGATACTTGGTGTGAATTTATACAGTTATATTAATTTTAGTTTTGATGGACACATAATATTTGTACATATCTGGGGTACAGTGTGGTGTCTGGATATGTGCATGTGAGCACGCAAGCCTATGCGCATTCATGTGGGCACTGGATTCAGGGTCTTGCATTCTTCCTTGGCTTTTTTGTTCAAGGCTGGCAGTCTACCGCTTAAACCGCTTAAAGCACACTTCCACTTTCTCTCAGATTCGTCTTCCCAGGCTGGATTTGAACGTGGTTCTCAGATCTCAGTCTCCTAAGTAGCTAGGATTATATATATGAGCCACCAGCATGAAGCCAGTGTGGTATCTTGGGTAATGGTCAACTCACAGGTGTATATATATATATATATATATATATATATATATATATATATATATATATATATATAATTGTGCACTGTATAGCTCAAAATAGAAGAAAGGAGTTTGAATGCAGTGTTTATATTTGTAACCAAGTCTAACCCATTCAGCTACCATCTTTCCTCACTTCACTCTGGAATACCTGCTGATTTTCACATAGTTCCTAACTGGTGATGCTATCTCTACTTTGGTCCTTAGTTCACTGACTGGTCATGACCTCCAAACTAGGGTTTAAACTTCTCAACCTTGGCTGTGGATCAAAACCTCTGAAAAATTCTGCAAAATGACTATAACTCTTAAAAATGTAATGTCCTGAGTGACCAGAAAAAAATGGTCAGGTAAGTATCCTGGATTAAAGAGATAAGACAATGCTTGCATATGGACTGGGGTACAGGGAAATATCTACAGGGACTATTATTGGATTGTGTGGGTGGGGGGTGTCCTTGGGCTTGAACTCAGAGCTTAGGTACTATTCCTGATTTTTATTGGGTAGCTGATTCAGATTGATTTGTATTTTTGCTTCTCACGGTAGCTAGAGCCACTCTGTCTTCAGAGCAATCATAGGAAATGCATCACCAAGACTGCCCAGAAAAGTCTGACCAACCAGCTGAATCTTATTGTTTAAAATACACATATTCACAGTAACTAATAAATGGGAATGTGCCTCCTATAGGAATATGTTAACATTTGCAAATCTTCCATCTGTAGTACTAAACCCTCTACCAACACCTTCATTCACCTAACTGAATCAAGATGCAAACCAAACTCAGTCCAAGTTCCTCTGGTCCTACTTGCGGTCTCTCATCAGCAGTAACCAGACTGTGATGTGACCATCAAGGTTGGCTCAGCCATTGAATTTTCTTCTTTTCAGACCTTCACGACGGGATGCTGCAATGAAGCCAACAGTAATCAGTCAGACCAATGGTGACTGGGGAGTGATGTTTGGGAGGGTCAGAGCTCACCATCTGATTAGTTAAATGAAGAAGATTTGTTTTGGTAAAACTTCTCCTCCTCTGAGCTACTTCAGTGAATTGTTTGGGATTTAAAGAAGGTAGCAGGACTGGTAAGGGCTACTGCTGCAGGTTTATCCACTTGTTGAATCATGTCAGGTGTCAGTGGAGAATGGTGTGGATGGTGGCGCTGGGATGTCTGCCAACATCTCCTAGCAACGCTGGACAGCCAAGCTCTGGGCCACAGCCAGCCCATGTTCATCACTGAAGATGCAACCAAGCTTCTGCATGAAATTCCACCTTCATGTAAGGTTTGGGTAAAGGACACCTCCATGTTGTTGTTTAGGCAGAGGAGAGTTTATTAGCAGAAATGAACTACCTGTCTCACACAAGATAGAAGTGTACAGAGGGCTGCACAAGATGGAGGTGTACAGAGGGAAAGGGGGACTGGTTATATAATGAGAGGCAGGAGGAGGTGTGATTGCAGTGAAAGCAAAAGTGATCTCAAGAGCCTGCTCCCAGGTGTGCCAATGCTGGGAAGGGACTTGTTGCTTTTCTTGGATGGACCTAACATTACAGTCTTTTCTTTTCCTTTTTTTGCTGGTTCTAGGACTTAAATTCAGGACCTAGGTGCTGTCCCCGAGCCTCTTTGTTCTCAAGGCTAGTGCTCTTCTACTTGAGCCGTAGTGCCATTTCCTGTTTTTTTTTTTTTTTTTTTTTTTTTTTTTTTTCTGAGTAGTTATTTAAGATAAGAGTCTCATGGACTTTCCTGCCTGGGCTGGCTTTGAATTATGATCCTCAGATCTCAGCCTCTTGAGTAGCGGTGTGAGCCACTACCACCTGGCACATTCCAGCCTTTGATAGTTATAAAGTGGCACTGATTCTCTTTGGTTACTTCCTTCTGGCAAGGGGCATCAACATTAGGGGTAGAAGGTGGAGATGTTGTTCAGTCCAGGAGGAGGCAGCATTAAGAGTTCCTTGGTGGTAAGCCTGTTTGCCTTTGGATGAAATCTGAAAGAAGTCTTATGAGGTAGGGGGGCTGAATAAGAAAAAATAATATTAGAGGGCATGAAAATGGCAGAAAGAAGGCAGCCATCCATTCAGGGTAGAAAAGGAAAAAAAAGGAAGATGACTTGGCTAGTTCCTGTCTCCTGTGTTCCAGGTAGTCCTGGAGTTAGTAGAGCATGTCTCTAGCTACTTCTGACTGATTAACATCAGGTGACTGGGTAGAAGAGCATAGTGGACTAGTTAAGAATAACCACTCTAGGGCTGGGAAGGTGGCTAAGTGGTAGAGTGCTTGCCTCACATGCATGAGGCCGTGGGTTCAGTTCCTCAGCACCACATGAGCAGAAAAAGCCGGAAGTGGTGCTGTGGCTCAAGTGGTAGAGCTCTAGCCTTGAGCTGAAGAGCTAAGGGACAGCGCCAAGACCCAGAGTTCAGCCCCACAGCTGACCAAAAAAAAAAAAAGAATAACCAGTCTGGCTGGGCACTGGTGGCTCACACCTGTAATCCTAGCTACTCAGGAGGCTGAGATCTGAGGATCATGGTTCAAAGCCAGCCCAGGCAGGAAAGACTCTTATCTCCATTTAACCAACAGATAACCAGCACTGTGGATCAAGTGGTAGAGTGCTAGCTTTGAGCTGAAGAGCTCAGTGACAGGGTCCAGGCCTGGAGTTCAAGCTCTACGACCAACAAAAAGAAAAAAGAAAAAAAGAATAACCAGTCTGAAGCTGGGGCTGGACTGTAGTTGTTAAGACCCAAGTGGGAGGCCTTGATTATTTTTTGAACTATAGAAGTCTGGACTATAGAATATGGATGGGAGACCTACTATAAATAGAAATAACATTCAATAGATATAAGTTCCTGTCCAGTTAGAAAGTAGAACATTAGATAGACATGCTAGTTAACTATTTTCTTTTGATCTCCTGACTCTGGTTATATTTGAAAGGGCAAGCTCAAGGTGAC